AATTAACCATACTTTTGAATTTACTACTGTTACTTGATTTAAAATTAAAACCAGTAATTTAAGAAATTCTCTATAGAAAATGTACCAAATACACTAGTCAGTTCCACTGTTTCTATAGTCACTATATAGCAGCTATAACTTAAAAACGCTTGTTTTTCTTCACTGCAAAAGTGACAAAAACTGGAGAGCCAGTGTAGTAAAATTAACCATACTTTTGAATTTACTACTGTTACTTGATTTAAAATTAAAACCAGTAATTTAAGAAATTCTCTATAGAAAATGTACCAAATACACTAGTCAGTTCCACTGTTTCTATAGTCACTATATAGCAGCTATAACTTAAAAACGCTTGTTTTTCTTCACTGCAAAAGTGACAAAAACTGGAGAGCCAGTGTAGTAAGCAGAGACAATTCATACTCTTTGAAGTACACCAGAATTCAAGTTACAGCCCTTTCAAAAAAGCCAAGATTCACCAAAAACGTGCATTCCTCAAAGTCTCTCTTCCAATCAGGCACGTTCAAACTGGAATATGTGGAGGATCCTCCGTCTGCGGGTGCTTACGGAACAGTAGAGCACCTGCAGATGTGGTTGAGATATGCACTGAGGGCACAATGTGAACTCCCTCGCCTCCTCCCCATTATGCATCCACTCCCAGGGCTTGTCTACAACGCTCGCTGGACCAAAGGGCAATGACCAAAGGACTGGCAATCGATTTATGCAACTCTATCCAGTTTACGGGACTCAGCTGGTGCCACAGTTGCTTTGCAACCCCATCGAGGACCCTCGGTCTACTACTGCTAGCGGGACAGCAGAGCACAAGCAGTCCAGGCGAGCTGTGTCACACCGTTACGACGATCAGGTTCTAACGCCAAGCCGCTTCCTGCTGCTGCACCAGCACCGCCGCTCTGTCCCCAGTGACCTGGACCTCCACGGCTCTCCACAGAGAGCGGCCCGGCCAATCCCTGGGCCCCCCCCCGCCAGCGCTGGCAGTGCAGGGGCGGCCGAGACTCAGCTCCATGACGAGCCAGGCCCGATCTATCCGCATCCACCCCGCGGGGGTGGCGGCGGCCCGGGCCTAACGGCGCAGGGACGCGGCTGGCCCACGGCAGCGACGGAAGCTGCCGGGGCCGTGCTCGCGGGGCCCGCGGCAGAGCCGGGGCGGGGCGAGCGCGTGAGGGAGGGGTGCATGATCGCCTCACTCACCACAGGCCTCAGGGCCAGGCCGGGCCGCTGCCTCCGTCAGGAGCCGCCGCTTCCTCCTCCTGCTAGATGACAAAATGGCGGCGACAGGAAGTGCCATCAGCTCCGCCGCCCCGCCCCAAGGCCCCCGCTCCCGTACACTGCGCAATGCGCGTACCGAGCTGCCCGTCCGCCGCCAGGGCGCAACGGCACCGGCGGAAACAGCAACAGCCCCTCTCACACACGGCCCCCCCCCACGCAAACCCCGCACCGAAGAGCTTTCCCGCCCCCACTCACCAGACGCTGCTACGCAAACAGCGCACACCCTAAAAAATACATGAGGATACACAGGCCGCAACGCTCCGACCCTATTCGCCGGCTTCTCCAGAGAACAGCCGTCCGCACACGTAAACCACGGTCCGCGCGCGGGAGAAAGCATTACCTACGCAAATCGCGTAGCTTCCACTCATAGGGCGGAATCTGTCTCCCACGCAAACTCAGCCCCCAATTCCCACCGCAATCGGCGCAACAGGGCCAGAGACGCCCCTACGTAAACCACGTAGTCCTCCGCAGAATACTCAGCCACCAACTGCGCGAACTGCGTAAACCGCAGAGAAAGCCGATCCCCTTACTCGTTCTCATGCACCACCTACGCAGCCCGCCGGCCGCGCGAACGGCCCACAGGGCCCCTCCTGCTCTGCGCGCAGCAGAGCGCCCCTCTCAGAGGAAAGCGGACTGGACGCAGCGTCTGCGCAACAGGCCGCAGCCTGAGACACACGTCTCCGCGCAGAATACGTAGCCTCCTTGAGGCCGCGGCCACATTACGCAATGCGGGTTACGCTAGCAGGACAACATAACGGGTTATAGTGAACGCCGACACCCCCACCGCCGTTCGACCGCGCCCCCCAGGCGAGGGCGCCGCTTCCCGCGCCCGGTTCTTACCTGAGGAGCGTCAGGCCGCGCTCTCCACCCTCCCGCCGGACCGGGAGCCGTGGGGCCCGGAGGGGGGGAAGGCGTCGCCTCCGCCTGGCAGCGGAGGGGAGCCTGGATGGTGGGACCTCCACGGGACAGATTAAGACCCAGGGGCAGCGGGAGGGACCGACAGCGGCGCCGCACTGACCTCACCGCTCAACGCTCTGCGTCGCGGCGCAACAGACCACGCCCCCTCCGCAACCGACGCAGCGCGCGCAGGCCGCTGCCCAGCCCTGCCCCTTCCGCTCTAGGCCCAGGAGGAATCGCGAGCCGGGGGCGCGTGCCGGAGTGCTGCGCGCCGCAGAGCAAGGCCCGGGAGGAGCTGCACGGGAAAGGGTTCTGTAACTGGGTGCTGCCCGGAGAGGAGCGGCGATCTCGCCTGCAAATAGCGCGTGTTCCACTGCTTCTCCCAGGACTGCAGGCTGGTCTGTGCGCTCTCTGGGCTGCCCGGTGTCTGTTGACTCAGGGGTCCGATCACGCAAATGGCCGTTAACCGTTCAACGGTTGGACGTTTTAACAGAAAGATCCATTCAGTCTGGCGTTGTGCCCCTACAGGTATCACGGGCGGCTCCATCGCTGGCTGGCAGGCGGCACTCCAGATTGCTGGGGCTTGCTCATACTTCTCAGGGTGTGGCTACACACAGCTGGAGCATGTGTAACTTCCCGCTCCCGGGGACATGCTGCGCACTAGCACTGTGGAGCTGTTGTAGTAGCCATTCTGAAGATTGACCTGCAGTTTCCAACAGGATTGAACTTGAGGAACCCGCTCCTTGTGTTACCATGGCTGCACCACCATGTTTCCACCTCTCAGGTTCGTACAGACATAAGCCTGAGCCCAGTGCTGAGCATTGGCTGACAACTTCCTTCCCCATTGGGAGCCCCCCCAGCTGTTGTGACTGGCAAACCACCCTGCCCAGATAGCAAGGGGCAGGGAGGGGGAGGGAGCATCCCTTGTCAATGGACACTTCCTGGAAGTTTCATCACATGACCTCTCTTCTTCAATTTGAGACATCGTTACAGCCTTGGAGGGTTGGCAATCCTGCCCTACTCCTGTTTCTCATGCCCAAGCACAGCATGCCCTCTGCTGGTCAGTGTGGAGATGGCCAGTGCCCTGTCTACCTAGAGCCCACCCATAGATGTGGCTGAGATATGCAGGGAGAGCACAATGTGAACTCCCTCCCCATTATGCATCCAACTCTCAGTGCTTGTCTACGCTACCCACCAGATCAACTGGCAATGACTGAACCATTGGGAACTGTTAATCACATCTAGTGTAAATGCAATAAATTAACCACCAAGTGCTCTCCCATCAACTCCAGTATTCCACAAGAATAAGAACCACAGCTGAAGTCAACGCTTCTGCAGCCAACTTACCACAGTGAAGACACTGTAGTCTGGGGAGGGCAAGACAGCCTCCGCAGGCCAGATGTGGCTCACCAAGCTGGTTGATCTGGCTCACAGGTACTCTGCTGCTCCCCCATCCCCAGGCTTGCTGGAGCCATGTGTGGGTTGGAGTGCTTACATACAATATGCCATCCCCCATGCTATGTCTATACTGCAGCCTTCCTGAAAAAATGAGGAAGAACGGCTCTTGCGCAAGAGGAGGTTTTTGCACAAAAAGAAGCCGTCTACACAGCTCCTTTTTGCGCAAAAGCCTCTTGCGCAAAAATGGCTGCTAATTAATTATGCAAATGATGCGTGACGATATTCTACTCCGCACTTCATTTGCATAAGCTTTTGTGGAAGAAGGCTGCAGTATAGACGTAGGCCCAGTGTTGGTGTCCCGTTGCAGGGAGGTGTCCTATCTGGCATTTACTGGATTACAAAACTGAGTCTACAGCTGATAAGTGCAGCTCCCATGGATGCAAGAGATCTTCCTTCACTGATCCCCTCATCCCAGAGAGCTTCCAATAGCTTTGCTCAGAGATTTCCTTATGATGTTCATACTGTAGAGCAGCAGTAGCCAGTGTAGGGCTGTGTCTAGACTGCATCCCTTTTCCGTAAAAGGGATGCAAATTAGAGACATCACAATTGCAAATGAAGCGGGGATTTAAATCCCCCTGCTTCATTTGCATAAACATGGCTGCCGCTTTTTTCCGGCTCGGAGCTT